GCCTTGGAGTGAAAGCCAGCCCAGACAGGAAATCTCTGCTGTAAATGCCTAAAAGCTGCAGGATCCACGAGGGATCTGTCATCAGGCAGATGATGCATTTTCCTTTTAAGTGCATCAACACTGGGTCTATTCATGAAGCTTTGGGTTTTACTGCCTTGGCTAACTAAGAGAGCTTATTCTGGTTTCAGTTTCTATGTGGTTATAATCCTGAGCACCAAATATTTCCTTCAGCAAAATATTGGAAAGAAATGTTACTGAGAACTGTTATCTGACAGCTATCAGGTGGTAAGTTGCTCTTTTAGGCAATAAACTTTCTTCTTTCATAAGCATTGCCATATTATTTTGAGACATACAAAATGATTACTGCCAAGAAAATAAGAGATGCCATACACTTGAGGGATAGGAGATCATCTGGTCCTGCTCCTTGTTGCAGGCAAGACACTACCAGCATCATGATGACTTGACAATGCCTCGTGACCACAGGCTTAAATTCTGACCAGTACCGAGAAATGGGACAATCTGAACATGTTTGCAGTTTGCCTGGCTTCATGCTTGATAGATATTACACCAGCAAAATACCCGGCCTATGGTTTTGTAGAAGTAACCGTGGCTGGACTCACCCACTGCCAATATTTTCCAATTCAATGTATTTCTGCAAAGGATTTCCCACGCTCACCATTCTCCCTGAAAGAAACAAAATGCAAGATGCTCACTTTCAAATTGAGATGCCGCCTTTCAGGAGGTCTGAAATGCAGCCCCACTGTCTGTAGCTCTGAGCCCTTTGTGAGTAACAACAACAACAATAACAAGACTGGCAGCTCTGCAGCACAGAGGGTCTGCACAAAGACTGATTTTTATACAGTCCTTTGAAGAGTTACCTTGACAGGAAACTAAGCACATAAAGATACATTCAGAGGAGGCAGAGATCAGAAGAGAACAGGTGCCAAGGCAAGTAAGTTTGTCATCTACAAATATTAAGGAGAGCTGGAACAACAGAGCCTTTCTTTCCTTGGGAATAAACATTCAGTGAGGAAGGCTCCAGCCTCTGCAGTCGCACCAGCCATTAAGGGCAGGGCAGGTATGACAAATGTCAGTAAAGCCCAAGAGTGAGTCCTGACAACTACTATGAAGAAGCCACAGCCAGATTGAGCCCCGTTACAAGCTGTGGCCCCCATTCAAGACAGAACATTATTGGCTTTGAGATCAGACACAAGGAGGTGCATATTGATCCACTTTTTGTCTCAACAGGTGATGGTAGACACAGAGTAAGCTGGACTCTGTTCTGAACTCAACCAGTTCAGAACTCTCTGATTATCTGAGAACACAGCACTGGCAGCTATTACGCAAAAGAAGCAGATTGAATTGGTTGTCCCGCAGAATCACAAGGGGCTTGCTGTGTTTTCCTAGAGTCTGCTCTGTGTGGGGATTGAGGCCAATGCTGAGGATTCTAATAGTCTCAACTGGCTGGGAATCAGCCATGACAGAGTGCCATGTATCTGAGGAATATACAGCGGCTGGGCTGGAGGCTTGCTCCTGGGAAATGCCTGCAGTGCAGTTTTCACACCACGTAGATGTGTCTCTTTGATACATCCTTATAAGCATAAAACTAAGAAATTAAATAGGGATTATAAAAGTATCTTTTTTTTCCCTTTGGGGGCATATTGAAAATGCCCCTTCCTCTCTATTTGTGCTGTCATCTGATGTTCTTTTAAAGGAGTTCTCACTGACAAAAATGTAGCATGCTTATAAAAACAAACTGTAGAAGTAACAGTGATAGTAATAACAATCATAAACCCCACATCAATAAGATACCTGGCGCAGGAGAGTTCCTTCGGGATGGAGGACAATAAAAACCCAACTCCATGAAAAAAATCCAAACCCAAACCAAACAAAAAAACCCCCAACCAACCAACCAACCAACGAAAAAAAACCACAAACCCCAAATCCAATGAATTTCTGTGATTTTAGGAAGCCAAATATTCTGATCAATTTGGGCACTAGCACACAGGACTCCACTAGGTCACTCACTAGGTCACAGCATTCTGCTCATCTGGGAACATTTCCCTGCTTTTGCCTTTAGCAGATAGGGACACTCAGCCAAACACAAACCAGTCCAACCTGCCCTCAGAAGCAGTAGGAACACCTAGAGTGTTCTCACTGACTCAAAGCAGAACAACAGTTTCTGTAGGGAGTCCTAAATGCCCCTGTGACACTAAACTGAGGAGGAACATTTGGCACAGCTCATGCTGAGACCTGCACACAAAACACTGATCCATCAGACAAGAAGTACACAGGACGTACTCAGTATGTTCAGGGACGCCTCCTCTACCATGTCTTGCAGAAAAGCTTCCACCTGGCCTGAGCTGAGCCAACTGCTCGTTGTCAAGTTTTCAGGCTGGGGAGTGGAGCCTTCTTTAGACGATGCTACTGCAGCAGTAGGTTCAATGACAGAGCCTATGTAGATCTGGGACAAGAGATAAGTTCATGTCAGAAAGGTGTCTGGCAGAGATTGCCCTGAGATCACATTTCAAATGATAGCCCTTAGGAAGATGCTGTAGGCCACATCCAGGACTCTTAAACTGGATTGTTTTTGATGTCCACTTCTCAAACTGAATTGGAAAAAACAAAAGGCTGGTTCTACATGGACAGTTTCATATTCCATTTTAGCAGCTTTTCTAAAAGATGACTGCAACAATGACTGCTCCACTTCCTCCCAAGAATTCTTTTCCCCTTCCAAGTGCTGCAGACACACGTGCAGTTCCTTGTTTTTATGTTCTACCTCCTCATCTTCAGTCTTCTTTTCCTCCATCATCTTTTGTAAGTGCTCAACCTCCAGCACATCCTCCCCTGGCTGTTCCTGTCCCTTCCTCTGACCTTGCTCAGCTTTGTTGCCAATCACTTGCTGGGACAGTTTGAGGGCTGCCAGATGAGATGTCAACTCTTCCACCTCAAGTCAAACAGAACAAAGCAGTCAGAGACCTACAGCTTCTCACTGTCAGCCATATCACAGACTGTGAGGAAAGGGAAAGCACACGAGACGACCAGATTCCCAATGGATATAGACAACTTGTTCCATATGTGGGTCACCATGTGAAGAAACACCTCAAAAAACAAGGCTAGCAGGAACAGGCCAGCAGAAATCCATTGGGATTATTGCTGGGCAACAGGCCAAAGGATGAGCCCAGCTGTCCAGGGTGACAGCTGAGAATCAGTGGACCAGTAAATCAGATCAGACCTTCAGATCAGCTGTGAGAGAGACCACAGTGTGAAGGTAGTCAGAGTGACTACCCCCATCAGCTGCTGCTCTGCAATGGAAAGGCAAGAAGGTGGGAGAACACCTCTTTGGTGACTGGAGTGGCTACCGCTGTTTCACTCACCAGCTTTCGTAGAGTCTCCTTCTGCTGCAGTAGGAGATTCACATCCTCTTGGATATTTTTCATTTCTTCCTCGTGCCTTTCTCCCATGGCCTTGATCTCACTCCAAGCTCTCTGCAGTTCGGCTTGCAGCTTTTCCCTGCTGTTCTGTAAGCAGAGGGGGAGAGAAAGTCTCTTGACTGGAGTTCCTGCCACCGTTTCCCTCATCTCATTTTGCAGATCCCCCCTCTGCTGAAATAGATTCATTTCATCTTGAATGCTTTTTGTTTCTTCCTCATGTCTCTCCTCAGCTGCCTTGGTCTTCCTCTGAGCTTCAGGCAGCTGTGCTTGCGGCTTTGTCTTGATGTTCTGTAAACAAAAATGGAGAGAAGGTTACTGGGACCTGCCATCAGGCTCAGGTTTTTCCTATTTCAGTCTCAAAATTACATTAATTAAGCCACTTCTCTCTCTTTCTCCATGCAGTTCTGCTTCCATTGTAACCCTCCCTTCCTGGTGCTGATCACTGGAGATTACAAGGCTCTGTGCTTTCAATCAATGCCCATGGTAGCTCTTACTTCCTCAGGCCCAAGACCTATGTTTTATGATCTTGTTATTGCCCTTCACTGTTACCTAGCTAGTCAGGTTTACCTGCCCATTCTCTCTCTGCTCTTCCTCCTGCTGCTCTAGCTGCTGCTGGGTTTGAAACAGCTCTCCCTGAGTCTGCATGTCTAAAAAAGCAATCTTCCCATGGTCTTCTTCTAGCAGGACCTGCACAGAAATGAAGAGAAGCAGGTTTAAACTTCCCATACAATACTTGTATGGCAAGACTCAAAGTCTGATGTGCTCATGCACTCCCAAAGCACTGTGCTGCTGCTCTCCTGGGTAATTATCTGCCCATGGAGAGGCACAGATTCCTAAGTGAGATGGGCAGTACAAACATGGTCCATCTGTAACTGAATCTCCAACAAACTCTTAGGCAGCTAACAGGAAATGTGTGGCATTTCTCAATTGCCCACCCTCACTGAGCCCCATTAACTTATTAGCTTACACACCCTCAGGATCCAAATGAAGGAAGACATGTTGTGTAATGCATATATAAGAAAAGTCACCGAACCCCATCTAGAGTGTGTAATTGTTCCACCTCTTGGGATGGCCCAAAATTTAGGGTATAAAAAGGGGGCTTTAGGGGTGGAAAAGGCTAGAGGAGAAAAACACCTCTGGGGGGAAAAACCTGCCATCTCTGGAGGAAAACATCTCCGTTTGCCCCGGATCAGTTGACAGACTGAGTCTCTCCTCCCCTCCTGAAGGGATGCCTGAATAGAATCCGGAAGCATTTCTCTTGTCCGGTCTGTTCAGCCGAGTTCACCTCAGTAATTCAAGCTTTAGGAAGCAGCCATTTGGAACTATGTTCCACCCCTTCAGAGACCAACCTTCTCTCTACATGGCAGAGCAGTGTAGGATTCTGCTCACCAAACCTGGGTCATGGCAAAGTTAAGCATGTAGTCTAATTGTGCCTGTTGCTACTTAGTCTGTGGAGAGGGGCAGGTCCCTCCAGGGCACAGTGACACCTACGTGCCACGAACAGCAAGTGCTGTCTGGTCAGAAACTTGCAACACTGCCTTGCACCAAAG